AGAAAAACTATTTAGCCTTTGCTCATGTACTTGAAAGAGTCAAGCACACAATTTCCCAGCTGTGAGATTCATGTAAGACACGATAACCTGTACACAGATGGCTTATCGTTGTCTACTTTCTGTTGCTTGCAGCCCTTCAAATAGTTCAAAGCAAAGCAAAACAAAGCCCAAACCCCATAGTGATGTTGCCACAAGTGCACAAGTTCAGGGGATGTGGCACACTTGCCCAGGGTGCCTTAGGCCCTGGACTGGGTCATTTCCCAGTCTGAGGATGTAGAAGATGATTGTAGATTGGCTTTTAGCTATCCACCCCATTTTAATGCAGGTGCGAAGCGATTTAAGAATCTTAACCCCTTTCATTTATTTTTTTTCCTTACATTGATTGGTTTCCCCCACCCCTACCCCTCTTGAGGATGATCTGCATTTCATGAATTCACCAAGATTTTATTTTGCACCCACCACTGACAGAATATTGTGGAAAAGTTTTAAGTTTTTCTTAGATTACCTGCCAACAAATAGTCCTAGGACATCTTTTAATAGTGGATGTAAGCTTTGGAACAGAAAATACATCGTTTGTTTATTATCTCACCTTCCCCCATAATTTGGCATTTTGAAAATATATTTTTTTGTTTATCTTGTAGAGGTATTTTATTTAACATACGTAAGTAGGAGAGGTGGAGAACACCACTTAATTTCAGCAGGATAGCGGTGAGGAGAGGCCATACCTGCCAGTTTCTATCTCTGATGCAAAAACAGATCCCTGTGAAGAGTGGAAGGCAGGGGACTTCCTGTCATTCTGAAGCAGGGTTTAATGATACCAAACCTTAGAATGGCATTAACACAGCATTTCCAACCTTCCTGGTACAGGTTACAAAAGGTGACAGCAGGAAGAGGTCATCGGGGAGTGATGGGCCCATTAAGAAGAGAGCAAAGAAAGTTCCAGAGAAGGAAGAAGAAAATACCCCAGTAACATCTGGTAACCCTGGTGAGTGTTAGGGAATGAGTCTTCTCAGTTGCTGGGGTTCCCCAGAGGGCAGAGGAAGCCGCTGGAGTGTTGAGCCTTGTTTTTCTCTATGGAGAAGGATCTTTGTTGTGCCTGAGCTGGGATTTGGGGGGCTAGGGCCACAGTGGAAGTCAGTTCTCTAATTTGGCTACAGTTCTTCCCAGTTTCTCTTTTGTTCACTTTTGTTGTATATTTTAAAAGTGGTGTGTGTGTGTGTGTGTGTGTGTGTGTGTGTGTGTGTGTGTGTAAGTGTAAGTGTAAGTGTAGATGCCTGCAGAGGCATGAGACGTGGAATCCTCCTGGAGGACCTGATATGGTTGCTGGGAATTGAACTCAGGTCTCTGATGAAAGAGCTGTATGTGTGCTTAACCACTGAACCATCTTTCCAGCCCCTTGAGCTGTCTTTTAAATCTTGGTTATAAAGATGAAACATTTGTTAATGATTTATTTATTATTTGTGTGTGTGCCTGTGTACAGAGGACAATTTCCAGGAGTCATTTCTCTCCTTCCATTGTGTGAGTTCTGACATTGAACTCAAGTTGTATGGCTTATTGGCAAGCACCCTTACCCAGGGAGCCACCTTACAGTCACCAAATGAAATCTTCTTGTTATCCATCTCCAGAAGACTTTCATATTTCACCTTCTGAAACTCTGCACTGGTTGATAGAATGTCTCTATTTCCCATACCTCCAACCCTTGGCCATGACCATCTTGTCTTCTGTGTCTATAATTTGACTAATCCATATTCCTTTTATTATATCCTGGCAGTATTCCTCTGCATAGATCTACCTCATTTCTAGACTTCCATTTATAAGTTCCTTTTTTTATACCTGGGCTACAAACCAGAAGGAAAGTCTTAACACTCACAGGAAACCTTTATGTATATTTGAGAAAAATGAGGTAAAATGTACACTGCAGAAGATATCACAAAGTACATTTTTAGAATAACAGGAACCTCACTAAATTCAGTAATTTATATTTGGAAAAATCAGAAGTTTAGAAGAAAGAGTGAGTTTGTCTTCCAAATTTCTTAGTCATGGAGGGGCAATAACTCTGTTAGTAGAGTTTGTCTAGCATCCCTGGAGACCTGGGTTTGCATAAACTGTACGGGATGGCTCATACCTGTAATTCCAGCATTGAGGAGGTAGTGGTAGGAGGATCAGGAGTTCAGGGTCATCCTCAGCAACATGGTGAGTTCAGACACAGCCTGGGCTACTTGAGGCCTTGCCTTGTTTCAAAACCACAAAACAGTTCATCCGACAGATATCTTAGTCATTGTTGGTATATTCAAATCAGGTATTTATTGTTGGAGGTGGTTGGTTTAATTATAGACTTTTTTTTTTTGCATAACCCCCCCCCTCCGCAGTTTTAAGATTTTTCTCTTTCTTACTCATTTTCTCATACTTTTAGAACTTTAGCCTAGTTATTAAGTCAGCGAATTGATTTTTTTCCTAGTTAGAACTCATTCAAAACTTCTTGAATTGGTGAGTTTTTATTCTCATATATTTAGAAAACTCTTTGTCCAGTCATTTCTCAAATACTTCCAGGGTGCTCCTCCTCCTTCTTAGAGTCTGGGAGAGACTTGCTGTTGACCGTCCCTCACATCACTGACGCTTTTGTGTGGTTTCAGGCTGGCTTGCTCTTGTGCTTTATTTTGGATAGGTTCTGTGGCCTTATTTTCTACTAAAACGATCTTTTTTCCATAGTGTATACATTGCTGTAAGTCTCAGGGAAATGTTCAACTTCAGGTTTTATACAGGCCCTTTCTAGAAGTTCCATTTTGTTGTTATTTTCGAACCTCACATATACCTATGTGAATTCTATCTTACTCAAATTGCTAATAGAAAAACTATTTAGCCTTTGCTCATGTACTTGAAAGAGTCAAGCACACAATTTCCCAGCTGTGAGATTCATGTAAGACACGATAACCTGTACACCCCAAACATTTTTATGTAAGTCTGAAAGTTTTAAACTTTTACAGATGTGCAACACCCAACTGCCGTCCTCTGCATTTTTGTCTTAACACGGAAGGTAAAGAGAGAGATGACAAGGGGTGCAAACCCCACTTCCCTTGCACTTAGCAGGAGCCGCCTAATAGTGTTGCTCCCAGGGGTGAAATAATGTGTCCCAGCATATTGCGGAGTCCCAGTGGATGGCAGACCCCTTCTCACCCCAATTGCTTGCTTATAAATAACAGATAATGAGTAACTGCTTACAGCCGTTGCTTATAATGGTGGTAGGTGCTGGGGAGAGTCATGGTCTTGTTGCAGGAACACAGAGGAAGAAAGGAGACTCTCAAGATGGAGAATAAATACAGGGTTTCATGGAAGAAGTAGCTTTGGGACGGGGCTTAACGGATGAATGTATTTTTGATATGGTATGCGAACGCTGGGGAGGCAAGAGAGCAAGTGTGTCTGTGCTCGGTGATTGCCTTGAGCTGGGCAGACAGCCACGTCTCCTGGCTTAGGTCTGGAGAGGAAGGCTCTGGGTTCCTGGGTCTTGGTGAGGCCAAGGTCTCAGCATGCAGCCAGCTTTGGCTCCTGTCATTTTCCTGGGATAGTTGATAATCAGCAGCACTGCTTGTCACACTTTTTCAGAGAGATTTCTAGTCTGTGCTGAGTGGGAGAGGTCCTCAGAATCTAGGAAGAATCTGTATCAGTTCACTTTGAGTCAGTCCTTTTCATTCCAGAACTTTCTGTTTCCAGACTCCATGGTCTCCAAGTTCCTGAGTCTTGAGCGTTCTGTGTTGCAAGTAGAGTTGATTCTTACTTTTCTAAGGACCGGGCAGGAATCTTGTGTGCTGAATTAGTGACTGCACATCAACTCCCTGTCTGGCTTCAGATATTTAAGTTGCAGCTGTCACCACTCCTGTCCTGTCTGTCATTATATCCCAAAGAAGTAGGAGGAAAGCTCGACTATAGTTCTGTTTTTTCACAATTAAAATTGCATCATTTATTTATTTTTTTAAAAAAAATTATTGTTTGTGTGTCTGTGCATGGGGTGCAGATGTTTGTGGAGGTCAGAGGACATCCTGAAGGAGCTGGTCCTCTCCTGCCATCTTGTTTCTGGGGATTGAACTTTGGTCCTCAGGCAAGTGCCATTCCTGCTGAGCGGTCTTGCCATCCTCCCTTACTGGAGTTCTCAATGGATTTCATCAGGGAATGAAATTACAGGTGTGTTTCAATGTGTCATTTTTACCTTGAACAGCCTTCTTTATCATGTTATAGTTAGGTTCATTGCTTCAATGGGAATATCTTTCTGAGAAATTCCATGCACATTATGAATTGATGTAAAGAAGTCAAAAATACTATTAGTATGTTTTCTTCTTATTATTTCCCAAGAGCCAAAGAAATGTCTGAGGCCCAGGATTGTTTTAAAGTCTCTGGAAAAGCTGAAAGAATTCTGCTGTGATTCTGCCCCCACTCAAAACAGAGTCCAGACAGAGCCTCTTCGGGAGAGATTTGCAGTTCTGCCGAAATGTACTGACTTTGAAGACATCACTCTGCAACGTGCCAAGAATGCAGTTTCTTCTGAGGAGTCCAAATCGCAGGCTAATCAGAAAGTACGTACCTTTTGTGTAAGTGGACAACCACCCACAACCATTCCAAAGTACTTTGAGGTTCTTTGGGGTTGTCAGGGAAATAAGTGGTTTACACAGGTGGCCGATCATCTGCATCAGCTGAGGGAGCATTTTTTTTTTTTTTAGTTGTTTTTCTTGTCAATACTTCGAGTTTTACTATTTATTTTGGAGAGATTAAAATGAGACAACACCTGCAGGCAGTCCTGCTGTACGTGTTCACTAATGGTATTGCCTAGGCGTGTTTTCATTGATAGTTTCCATAATTTGCATGGAAAATCCTGGTGGGCAGCATATAGGTGCTTTTTTTTTTCCAGTTGAAAACTTTGCAGGTATAGACTCAGTTTAAAGATAAAATAAGGGCTGGAGAGATGGCTCAGAGGTTAAGAGCACTGACTGCTCTTCCATAGGTCCTGCGTTCAATTCCCAGCAACCACATGGTGGCTCACAACCATCTGCAATGAGATCTGGCACCCTCTTCTGTGTACATAATAAATAAATCTTAAAACAAAAAGCAAACAAACAAAAAAAATAAAGATAAATGAGTACTGGTTTTTCTGGAAGTTTATCTTATTTCATAAATGAATAAGGGAATAATTTTTCTAGAAAATGTATTTTTGTGAGTGTGAATTAACTTTTATATTACATAGCATTCTTGGATTTTTATAAAACCATGGAACAAAATGGAAAATCTCATAAAAATTTAAAATAATTGCATTCTCAGACCCAATACAGTAAGCTACATTTCTCTTGCCGTGAGTCTCCACCCCTTCTCTTTGGAGGCATTTGTGGACTAATGACTTTCTTGGTCATGAGATAGATCATGAGATAGGTCTGACAAAAGCAGCTTAAGGAAAGAAGGTTTATTTATGTCAGGGTTGGAGGGTCTGATCCATCATCAGGGATTGCATGTGGTAGGGCCTGCTGCATTGCATCTATAGTTATCTGCAGTCATCTGGAGTCATCTGCAGTCATTTGGAGTTATCTGGAGTCACCTGCAGTCACGTGTAGTCATCTGCAGTCAACTGCAGTCATCTGGAGTCATCTGCAGTCATCTGGAGTCATCTGCAGTCAACTGCAGTCATCCGAAGTCATCTGGAGTCATCTAGAGTCATCTGTAGTCATCTGCAGTCATCTGTAGTCATCTGCAGTCAACTGTAGTCATCTGCAGTCAACTGTAGTCATCTGTAGTCAACTGTAGTCAACTGCACTCATCTGGAGTCATGTGCAGTTAACTGCACTCATCTGGAGTCAACTGCAATCATCTGGAGTCAACTGCAGTTATCTCCAGTCATCTGGAGTCATCTGCAGTCATCTGGAGTCATCTGCAGTCAACTGCACTCATCTGGAGTCAACTGCAGTCAACTGCAGTCATTTGTAGTCACCTGTAGTCACCTGCACTCATCTGGAGTCAACTGTAGTCAACTGCAGTCATCTGGAGTCAACTGCAGTCATCTGGAGTCATCTTCAGTCATCTGGAGTCATCTCCAGTCATCTGCTGTCATCTGGAGTCATCTGCAGTCAACTGTAGTCATCTGGAGTCATCTGCAGTCATCTGTAGTCAGGGTGTAGAGTGCACACCAGTGCTCAGCTCACTTTCCTTTTTTATTTAGCACATAAGATGGTGCTGCCCACATTCAAGGCTGGCTTTCCTCAGTTAAAGGGTGAGGAGAACATCCTCATAGGCACACTCAGAGGTGCAGGGAATTCTAAACTCTGACTGGTTGCCAAGGTCACAGCCATCATAGCTTTACTATTGAGATGAAGTGAGTCTCCTTGGAAAGTTACCTTCTATACCTGGTGTAGATGTTAGCATGTTTTCAGAAAGTGCCCTAGATACGTGCCCTCTATGCTACCCAGCACTCTCAGGAATAAATAATAAGATATTAATAGGCTTATGAAATAAAAAATTTGAAAAATATATAAAACAAACTATTTAAACTTTCAAATATACTTATTTATATAGTTTACTTTGGCTTTTTACCTTTTTATTTATTTAATTTTTAAAGTTAACATATAGAGTAATGGTTGTCTTTTTCATCATGATATCACATGACATTATATGTCATTCTCATTTGTTCCCCCTCCCCCACTGCTCTCTCCTGTGTTTTTTAAACTTTTAGTTTGAAAAGATTTCCAACCTTTAAGATAACTTGGCCTCAGTCTGGCTTTAGAATATGTAATATGTCCTTAGAAACCTTCCATGTGGAGCCACAAACTGTTAGCTTTTTGTCCAGCTTTCCAGTCCTCTGAGAACTCATCGATTCAGTTGGTGCTTTCTAAACCGTATAAATCTTTTGGTTTCCAGGACAGTCAATTTGGACCATGCCCTGAAAATTCCCGGAAGCCTTCTAACTGTAACTCTTTGAACAAGCGATCCAAAAGCGTCTATACGCCATTAGAATTGCAGTACATGGATGTGAAGCAGCAGTATAAGGATGCAGTTCTGTGTGTGGAATGTGGGTACAAGTACAGATTCTTTGGGGAGGATGCAGAGGTAAGTTCTGTCTGCCCTCTTCTGGCCTCTGTAGGTACTGTATGCAGGTGGTGCATAAACATACATGCAGAGAAACACCCATACACATAACAGAAAAAGATAAGATTTGTTACTTATAGTAAGAATAAAACTAAGTAAGGATAGCCAAGCGTGGTGGGAGTAGACTTGTGGGTGAAAGTCAAGGTTCTCTTCTGTCTTCTCTTTACCTTTAACTTAGGAATTTTTATAGGTAGAAGGTTCCATCTCATGGACAAGCAAATTAACAGCCAGCTATGAACAGGTGTTTGAAATGATCTTTATGTGTGTTAGGCACCTTGTCAGTTTTTTTTTAAGGTAGGTCCTGATTTAATTTAGAGGCATTTGATGTAGGATTCAGTGAAGAAGGTTATTTAATGGGTGTCTTAAGTTACTTTTCTATTGCTGAGACAAAACATCGTGACCAAGGTGTCTTAGTCAGTGTTCTCTTTCTGTGAAGAGAACTACGGCATGACAACGGCAACTCTTGTAAAGAAAAATGTTTAATTGAGACAGGCTTGCAGTTCAGAGGTTTAGTCCATCGTCATCATGGCAGGAAGCATGGCAGCATCCAGGCAGACATGGTGCTGGAGAGTGGCTCAGAGTTCTGCATTACGATCCACGGGCAGCAGGGAGAGAGAGTGACACAGGGCCCGGCTTGAGCATTTGAAACCTCAGAGCCCACCCCCAGTGACACACTTCCTCTAATAAGGCCACACCTCCTAATAGTGCCACTTCCTATGAGCCTTTGGGGGCCATTTTCATTCAAACCATCATACAAGGCAACTTAGAAAGTATTTAATTGAGGGATCACAGTTACAGAGGGTTAGTATCAATGACTGGCGTGGTGGGGAGCATGGAAGTAGGCAGGCAGGCAGGCATGGCACTGGAGCAGTAGCTGAGTGCTCACATATTGAGACACAAGCACAGGCCTAAGGCAGAGAAAGAGAAACTAACTGAGAATGGTGTGGCCCTTTGAAACCTCAGAACCTACCCCCAGTGACACAGCACATCTCCTTCCTAAATAGTTCTATCAGCTAGGGACCAGGCATTCAAACATGATTTTCTGTGTGCCTTTCTTGTTCACACCACTGCAATGGCCAAGCTGAGGAGGAATATTGCTGGTGTTGCCATTGTTGGGACTCATGGATGATGCTTACGTTTTAGGCTTGCTTGGGTCATAGGACATCACAGAGACATAAGGTCGTACATACGATGTTGCCTGAGGTGTGGAAAACAAAGTCTTTACTAACCCTTTTTCTTTCAGTTTCAAAAACCTGTTTTTTGCAGGAAAGTAATATTCTCACAGTAACATTACACTGTATTTTGTGTTATGAAACTACTCTGACATAACAAAACTAGCATGTTTTCTGAGAGCAGCAACAGGTAAAGAGTTGCATCCAAAGGAGAAGGAGAAACAGGCTGCCTAGGTTCAAGGGTAAATTCAGATCTGACCCTAGTAAAGACTGCTCTTCCCTTGACATCTTCACATGATGATGGAACCACGCAGTTCCGAGATGGTGAGATTGGGTAGTGAGAATGCTGGAATGAGGTTGTGTGCCTCTGGTGGACACTGTTCCGCTATGGGAGTTTCTGGAAGAAAGCGAGGAATTAGCTATTGCTTCCTCCTTCCACATTTCTTTCAATCACACACTCTTAGCTAACAGGAAGGCTTATTTCCTCTGTAAATATAGTGTTCCCTACCTGCCAGTCATTCATGTGTCCCGTTGGCATAACCATATCTTCTTCCATTACACTCTCGGCTCTTAAGGTAGGGAAGACTGACATTTTTAAGTTTTGGTAACATTTGTGTATTTCTAAGAACATTGATGAAGAGCTGTTGTGTTTTTGTGATTTTGAGTACAGATGTTGGCTCTGAACTGACCCTATTGGAGGTGTCCAAAGTAGATGAAACCATAAGTTATTTTTTGTACAGAGAACATCATTTAAACATTTTATTGATGATGTATGTATTTAGAGGAATATCAGATCCTAAGTACACGTATGCAGCTTGATGAACTTTTAACAAAATGAACAAACCTTAGACAGGGAGTCTTGAATAGACTTTCATTAACATTCTCTCTGTCTATACCTTTTAGATTGCTGCCCGGGAACTCAATATTTATTGCCACTTGGACCACAACTTCATGACGGCAAGCATACCCACTCACAGACTGTTCGTGCATGTCCGTCGACTCGTGGCCAAAGGATACAAGGTCAGCTTTAGCTTTGATTTGTGGAAAAGGAATTGCGACTCTTGTCTGGAGAGCAAAAGCATTGTCTCTAGGTGGTAGAAAGGCTCCCACTGGCTTTAGAATTGGGGGCTCTGAGGAAGTAAAGTGCGTTATATTTATTAGCATTGTATCTTTTCATTCTGTGTTGGTTTCCTGTGCCAGGGTCTGAGCTGTAAAGCCTAGGACGGACTTCACATAAACTCACAGTCCTCCAGCCTCAGCCTCAGTGCTGGGCTTGCAAGGAATGCACTGCCATGCGAGCCCTGGAGTGCCCTCTGCTGCACGGCGGAGCGTTTCTTTGCCCTGTATCCACTTTGCAGTTGCTTGGGGTTCTCTCTGCTCTGTGTCTGCACATCAAGTGTTGAGCTGCTTTTTTCCAGCGCTTCTGAATTGACTTTTTGACATTTTGAAATCATTATTATTAGTTTTTTAAACAGTGATTCCCTGGATTTGACAGTAAGCGTGTCCTTTTTTGTTGAAGGTTGGAGTTGTGAAACAAACAGAAACAGCCGCGTTAAAGGCCATCGGAGACAATAAGAGTTCCGTCTTCTCCCGGAAGTTGACTGCTCTTTATACAAAGTCCACACTCATCGGAGAAGATATCCTTTGAGGACAGGAAGTTTCCTCTTGTCGTAGGGGCTTTGTTTCAAAATGACAAATTGAACTAAATATTTTTTTTCCTGAGTGAGAATGTGTTTGATGAGGTGTCCAGCCACTATCCATCCTGACACCTCAGCCATGGTGGGTGTGTCCCAGACGGGGTGGGGTGGGTAGTGGCTGGATACAGTATGTGTCCATTGTCAGAGTGAGAGCAGAATTCATGGTACTTTAATAGCAAGAATAAAACGAGCCTAATAAAACATGCCAGGTTAACAGCTCTTTGAAAAGAGATTTTTCTCCTCAGATCATTTCTGGGACAGTGTTAGCTATTTGAGCCTTGCCAGCTCCTCAGAGTCTTGCCAAAGTGAGACCTGAAAATAACTTCCTAACTTCACCTGGAAAGAACTTCAAAGACAAAATTAATACACAGTTAAATGTGAGGCAATCATCATTAATTGTTAATCTTATAAAAAATTATTGAAAATGGGTAGTTGGTTGAAACTTTCTCTTGTAGGTTTCAGTGTGTACAATGATCATCCCAAGGTTTATCATCACTCAAATTCTTTGTTACTTGAAGCAAAATAGTTTCAAAAACATAGTAATCAAATTCCTAGTGTTTTTGTTTTGAGATGGAGTCTCACTGTGGCACAGGCTGGCCTTGAATTTCTTCTTCAGCCTTTCTGATACCTGGGATTGTTCTGACCTGGCCACTGTACCTGACATGTTATTTTAAAAAATGAAATAGTTATTTATAAGATAGGAGCAGGTGCAAATGAGAATGTTTAGGTAGTGGGTCAAGTTTCTCTTCTCTTCAATTTTTTTTTATTGAAAATAGATTTTTTTCCTACAATATGTTCTGATTACAGTTTCCCCTCTCCCACTCCTCTCAGTTCCTCCCTTCTCCCCCTCCCACTGGAATCCACACCTTTCTGTCTCTGTTAGAAATTAGGCATCTAAGGAATAATAATAAAATAAAATAAAATACAAATGACAAAAAAAAATTGGAATAGGACAAAGACCAAACAAGAAAAACAGCCAAAGAAAAAGTACAAGAAACGCATATAGATACAGAGATACACACCATTCACACACACAGGAATCCCGTAAAAACCCCAAACCAGAAGCTGTAATATGTACTCAAAGTATCAGTAAGATTAAAAAAAAAAAAAAAAAACACCCCTGACTTGACATTGTGAGACAAAGAACTTGCAAAGATGCGGTTGAGTTCACTTTGTGTTGGCCATGGACAGCTGGGTGTGCAGCCTGCCCTTAGGAGTGGCTGTTTCCCCAGGGACTGCCTTGGAGAAAGGTTTTCATTTTCATTCTGTCATTTGGAGACAGCGTCCAGGTTAGGGTGGAGAAGTACCTGCATGGCCCCTTTCAGCTCTAGGAAATTATTTTATCTCACGTGTACGGGTGCTTGGTCTGCATGTAGATCTGTGCACCATATTCGGGCCTGGTGCCCAAGGAAGCCATTAGATGGCATTAGATCCCCTGGGACTGAAGTTACTGGGGCTTGTGAGCCACATGTGGGTGGTGGAACTGAACATGGGTCCTCTAGAAGAACATCCACAGTGCTTTTTCTACCAAGACATTTCTCCAGGCCTAGGTTAGGTCTCTTAATAGTGTAAGAAAGTGTGAATGATACCATGTGAAAGTACTATTTCAGTTGTAGTTTTTTTTTTGGAGACAGGGTTTCTCTGTGTAGCTTTGCACCTTTCCTAGAACTCACTTTGTAGACCAGGCTGGCCTTGAATTTACAGAGATCCGTCTGCCTCTGCCTCCATCGCACTGGGATTAAAGGTGTGTGCCACCACCGCCCGGTTCAGTTGTAGTTTTTTTGTTTAAAGATTTATTTATTTTTATATGTATGGGTGTTTTGCCTGCATCTATGTCTGTTTAATTCCTGTGTGCTGGGTGCCAGTGTAAGCCAGAAGAGGGCAGAACTGGAGTTATAGATGGTTGTGAGCCACCTTGTAGGTGTTTGGAATTGATCCTGGATCCTCTGGAAGTTCTTAACACTGAGTCATCTTTCCAGCACCTCTACTATAGTTTCTTAGAAGTTATTCAACCTGCTTAGCTTCTATGCAAACGCTGATATGCTTTTGTTCAAGTAAGATCACCAGTAGTGAGTGGTCACCATTGAGATGGTCACCATTGGGATGGACTGCAGACCATCAGTAGTGAATAATTACCATTGAGATGGACTGAAGACCATCAGTAGTGAATGGTAGTGAATGGTCACCATTGGGATGGACTGCAGACCATCAATAGTGAATGATCACCATTGAGATTGGACTGCAGACCATCAATAGTGAATGGTCACCATTGAGATTGGACTGCAGACCATCAATAGTGAATGGTCACCATTGAGATTGGACTGCAGGGGCTGGAGGGATAGCTCAGCCGTTAAAGGCTAGGCTCACAACCAAAAATATAAGAGATTGGACTGCAGACCATCAATAGTAAATGGTCACCATTGAGATTGGACTGCAGACCATCAATAGTGAATGATCACCATTGAGATTGGACTGCAGACCATCAGTAGTGAGTGGTAGTGACTGGTCACCATTGGGATGGACTGCAGAGCATCAGTAGTGAATGGTCACCATTGAGATGGACTACAGACCATCAGTAGTGAATGGTCACCATTGGGATGGACTGCAGACCATCAGTAGTGAATGGTAGTGAATGGTCACCATTGAGATAGACTGCAGACCATCAGTAGTGAATGGTAGTGAATGGTCTCCATTGGGATGGACTGCAGATCATCAGTAATGAATGATCACCATTGGGATGGACTGCAGACCTTCAATAGTGAATGGTAGTGAATGGTCACCATTGGGATGGACTGCAGATCATCAGCAGTGAATGGTAGTGAATGGTCACCATTGGCATGGACTGCAGACCATCAGGAGCCTTGTTGTTCCAAGCTGATCAAGCTGGAAGAACCTGGTATTTTGATTTTTTCCTGAGTCTCTTATTTGAAGCCTTTCCCCCAATCAGTCCCCTTACCTGCTTTGCCTCAGTTGCCAGTAAGGCTCTTATCTCCTGATAACCAAGTCGGATGTTGCCAGGATGACTTTGTCCAGAATCAGCTTTTATCCTTGAGAATTTTGAATAATGGGACTCATTTTATACATGTGTGTGCATATATACTCCTATATGTAAAGATATGTTTTGTTTAATTAAAATGTCTTAAAGGTCTTTAGAAGTAAAATACTTCTAGAGTTTTGGGCACTTTAGAGATGGGAATTCATTTATGATAGTTAAGTGTGTTTGCTCTGCTTTGTGGAATTCATGATACGGTTGCTGTGGAGTTAAGTCTCAGCAATCACTCAGCAAAGTGGGTTCCTGTTTGGACTTCCACAGGGTTGGACCTGCACTGTGGCCCTTTGGAAGTGAGGAGAAAATAGTTGTCTGTCTTTGTGCCTCTCGTAGTTCAGGGAAGAGACGCCATTCAACTGTGATCATAATTGGAAGAACGCTGCATGAGAAAAATAAACCTTTATCAGTTAATAGGAATTAGGCATGTGATTTTTCTTTAACCATTATTACATGTAAATCCTCTAATCAGACTGGATGATTCTATAAATATCGATGAGGTAACGACAGATACTTCTACCAACTATCTTCTATGTATCTACGAAGAGAAGGAAAATACTAAGGACAAAAAGAAGGGGAATGTTTCCATTGGTCTCGTGGTAAGTCCTTTGGAGGTGAGGAAGGATGGGTGTTGGTGGTACCTCATGTGAGTAGTCGTGAGTGGTGCATGGTGAGGATTCTGATGAAGTGTGCTTTCCTCACAATATTTATTACCTGTCTAGTAACTAGTTACAAGTTTCTTTTCTGGTTACTTGGCACTCTGTGCTGGAAAGATCCAGAAAGTTTCAGACTGTATGTTGTTGTCAAGAGTTGACAATGGTGGCAGTGATAGGCACAAGTGTGGACAGGGAGCTGATAGCACAATGAAATACTACGCCAAGCAGAGTTTCCTCTTTGGTGTGTAATCTGACAGGAGTGATTATGGAACTCCCCTAATTAGATTTGGAGGAAGGAAGGGTTAAAGGGAAATGGTAAGTGGCCAATGCAAGATAGTCTATATATAGTGTAGGATAAATGAATACCAGAAATAGCTTCACTCTGTCTTCCAGGTAAATGTGATTCAGGAGTTATAGTTTCACTGATTTTGCCTTTTGTCAACTTATGGGCAAATTTACTCACTTACAGAGCTCTTGACTGTTCGACTCCCTTATAACCACTCTTTCTGCTTTTTCTAATGTCTACAGTCTAACATGACCAGCATTAGCAGAAATTCCTAAAGCTTGAATGTCTTCAATGTGCCTTTTAATGCATTATTCATACCGCATAATTTTGCTAACTTGACATTTGCTTAGCCAATAAGCCCCTCTCTCAGGGAGTTAGCAATACTGTGGGTGTTGGGGAGGCTCAAATGGGTTTTTTTTTTTCCCCTGAGAAGCACTTTTTATCTCGTCATAGACAGTTGGTTCCATCTACAAATAGTAAGGCTGTTTGCTTTTCAGCTTTAGCATATGTAGTGTGCTGTTGTATATTTACCTGGAGCTCAGACTAAAGAACAGAGTTGAAGTACAGAGCACCCAGGTCCTACTTGGGGCATTCAGAGTAGCATCCTGCCACTGCCAGGTCGACTGTAGCAGGTGAGCAGGGACGGGAAAAGATGAACAGTGGTCCTTGACCCTAAGTGGTTTTCGGTTCCTGTCCTTGACCTCAGTGGTCACTTTTCTGGCTGATGGCATCCTGAGCTCTAGCTGAGGCTGCACTTTTCACTTGGGCTCTGGAAGCCTCCAATTTGCACAAGGCCACTTGGAATGTGCTCCAGTTCCTCAGATTCAGTGTGGCCGAATGGAGTTCATTTCCCTCAGCACTGTTCTCCCTGGGTATTTCTCCCACTGTGATGAACATCTTACACTTTCCAGTCAGCATATGAGAGTCTCCTTTGGGTGCTGGTAGTTGGTCTGAAATTGAAAGCCTCACTGTTGAGAACAGTTTTCTTTGGATTGTGGGTTTCTTAATGCCACACGTCTCTTAGAGTAATACACGGTGCAGGTATTGCCATTAGATGAGTCCTTTGATTAAAGCAACAGAGAATTTGACTGGCTGATAACTCTGTCATCTGTTTATGTCAATGCTTGGTTTGTAGATTGGGATTGAACCTAGGTAGGTAAACCTAGTGCAATGGTGCCCCAGCTGTGGGCACTAGAGGATACCTCTGGCCTGGACTTGAGGGCATTCCCTGGCTACAGATGAAGGATTTAAGGAAATTATGAAATATTCAAAAGGAAAAGATGAATAGAAATTTAACAGGCTAGTATGAGACAATCGCCCAGGTCAGGAACTGTAACACTACTCAGAATCCTCAAGTTCCCCAGGTGCCTTTCCTTCTACAGTAACTGTAGTGATTTAAA